TGGTTCTGGTCGTGGTCCCTGGTAGGCCTAAGAACTCCATACGCATGACTGATGCCAAAGTCTGACATTAGCATATCAGCCTGGGATAGCTCCGGGGAGCCGACGGGGCTCCCCCGAAAAAAATCAGATTTAGCATAGAATGGAGTAGATCTGTAGGAGAAAATTCTGTTAAAGTACCAGATTTTCAAAAAGCTGATTTAAATAGCCTAAGAAATTTTTTGGGTCAAATAGATTGGAAAGTCTTGGGCATGGGGGGTGGCCTGGTCTTGGATCGAGACATGAACCCAGCAATAGGTGACATAAAAAGGGATTTCAATGTGGATTCAAAATATAACTTATTTAAAAATACTCTAAGCAAATCACAGGATTGTAGTATACGATACAAACTGAATAGATCGAATACTAATGACCCAAAGTGGATAACAAAGGATCTGAAGAACCTTATATGTAAATAGAGAGCGTAGTACAAAAGGAATAAGAATGGGGGAAGTCAATTTAGAACAGGAATTCGTACAACTGGTTAAAAATGTTAAAAAAAAAAGAGATAAGGAAAGCAGAAAGAAACTATGACGTTCCCATAGCAGGGCAAGCAAAAACAAATCCTAAAGGGTTTTTTCAGTTATATCGAACAAAGATTAGGGAAAGAATAGGTCCATTAAAAACTGAGACAGGTCAAATAACGGATAATGATGAAGAGACGAGTTGTATTTTTAATAAATATTTTATATCTGTATTTACTAAAGAGGAACTTAACAATATGCCTTCAGCTGAACAAGTCTATGTGGGTGGGGATGAGGACAGGTTGACTAGTTTAGCAGTTACCAGGGAGGATATAATCAAATAGTAAAACTCAAACCAAACAAATCCACAGGGCCAGATGAATAAATCAATAGAGTCAGGCAAAGTGCCAGAGTCATGGAAGGTTGCTAATGTTGTACCAATTTTTAAGAAAGGAAATAGATCACTTGCGTCAAACTATCGGCGAATTAGCCTAACGTCTATTGTGGGAAAGTTACTTGAATCGATAATTGCAAATACAATCCGTCTTCATCTTGAAAAGCACAAACTAATAAACGAGTCTCAACATGGTTTTACAAATGGCCGTTGATGTTTAACAAATTTGCTATCATTTTACTCCAGCATAGTTGAGGCAGTTGATAGTGGTAAGGATTGTGATGTTGTGTACCTTGACTTTAGCAAAGCTTTTGATACAGTACCATATGAAAGACTGATTAAAGAGATAGAAGCTCATGGTATTGGGGGTGCTATATTAAGTTGCATTAGGGCATGGCTATACCAAAGATAACAGAGTTAGTATAAATGGGGTTAATTCCAAGTGGGAAAATGTAGTAAGTTGAGTGCCTCAAGGCTCTGTCCTGGGACCTCTGTTGTTTATAATATATATGAATGATTTAGATTCACGTTTGAGTAGCAACATTTGCAAATTTGCCGATGATACAAAAATCGGAAGGGAAATTAACACGGAACAAGACTCGCTATCACTTCAAGTTGATCTAAATAGGGTTTTGAAATGGTCAAAAGATTGGCAGATGTAGTTTAATGCTGATAAATGTAAAGTTTTGAGGCTAGGTAATGATGATAGAGTTACAAGATACGAGCTAGATGGTGTTGAGATTGCGAAGTCGGATTGCGAAAGGGATCCGAGTTATGATTAGTAAGAATTTAAAACCAAAGGATCAATGCATGAATGTTCATAATAAGGCACATAGGACACTGGGATTTATTAATCGAAGCGTTAGTAACAAAGACACCTGGTGTGGTTCTTCAGATATATCTTGCTCTAGTTGGGCCCCATTTAGATTATGCAGTTCAGTTTTGGTTGCCGTACTATAGAATGGATATAAATTCACTTGAACGTGTTCAGCGTAGGATGACAAAGTTAATTCCCCAAATTAGAAACCTTTCATATGAAGAAAGATTAACAAAGCTTAAATTGCATTCACTGGACAGGCGAAGAGTTAGGGGTGACATGATAGAGGTTTACAAGTGGATGAATGGACAAAGGGAATATTAATTGCGTATAAAAGTATCAACACATGACAAAACACAAAACAATGAGTATAAATTGGATAAGCTTAGATTTAGGAAAGACTTGGGTAAATACTGGTTTGGTAACAGGGTTGTTGATTTGTGGAACCAATTACCGCGTAACGTGGTGGAGGTGGCATCCGTTGATTACTTCAAGTGTGGGTTGGACATGTATATGAGTGGGATTGGGTGGTTATAAATATGAGCCGCCTCATATGAGCCAATAGGCCTTCTGCAGTTACCTTTGTTCTTATGTTCTTAAAACTTGCACAAACACTTTTCATTTTTTTCTGCATAATCAACTAAGCAAATTCTCCAGGTAGTTTTAATTCGTTAATTTAATTGTATGTTTTAATAAACATTGTTTGGCACTCGTACTCGAAAATGTGAAAGTTGTAGGTCAATGTGTGTTGAAATGAAGTCAAGAATAAATAAAAAAAAAACACAAAATATAGGGATAATTATAATAATTATAATGATTTAGGGGATATATTTAGGGGTATACTTTATATAAGTGAAAAAGCCCTAATATGGTCCTTAATCATCAAAATAACCTAAAGAGACAAAGAAAATATAGTTTGAAATCAGAGAAAAAATCAGCCAAATAAATTAAAAGTCCCAGGTTTTGCGAGTTGTAACCGACTTTATTTGTTGACCAATTCCATTCTAGAATGAAGTGGGTATTCTACCCACTTCAAGACTACTCACCAATATAGACGCATCAAGAAATATGGGCCAATAGGCCCTTTGCAGTTACTTCCATTCTTCCCTTTAATTTATCCAATTTATACCCATTGCACCGTGTTCTGTCTTGTGTTGAAAGTTTGCTCTATCTTGTGTTGAAAGTTTTATTCACCTCATCCAAAACTGTTGTAACATATCACCTCACCCAAATGCGGGTATATAAGATGAAAACTGTTTAAATGATAGCATAGTAGAACTCTGATTAGTGTTTGCAGGTTATAGTTGTGTGTGTGTTAATTAAAGTCTTTGAAAATGTAATAAATTATTACGAAACGTGTTCAAGTGTCACGTCAGACTAGAAATAAAAATTTATTTTGGAGAATTGATTTTTCAATTACCATCGACAGTGAAAAGAAACATAAGAAATATTGAGAAAATTTGTGTTAGAATTATTAATCTTACGTTTTCGGTCAAATTTAACAACATATGTTTACAAGAAAGACTGCTACCAAAATATACTAATAAATAAATAAATAAATTATATATATATATATATATATATATATATATATATATATATATATATATATATATATATATATATATATATATATATATATATATATATATATATATATATATATATATATATATATATATATATATGTTTATATTATTATATATATATATATATATATATATATTATATAAACTGATATGACTTGGAAATCCTAAAATTCACCTGATGCTTTAATATGTTGTTTTGTTTTGTCTAATACACAAATAATTATTTTGGTATTAATTGAGTAATCTGTTAGTGTATTTTTAGGAATGCATTTCTCAATAAAGCTTTCTTTTTAAGTTACACATTCAATAGAAAAATTTAATTAAAAATACAGTACTGAAATAGGTAATAGGTTATTTTTACATACTATTGTCTCCGTAAGTGTCATACTGTACATGAGAGGTTATGACAATTTATGGAATCAAACCTCAGTAATTTACTGTTAAATGATAATTATTTTATATCTCTTTAAACATTTACAACTAAATCTTTTGTTTTATACATTAAATTGTTTTTGTTTGGTTTTGCTAGGAATAATGCTACCAAAAAAAAACTTAGGTAGCAATTACCTTGATTGTTAATAGTTAATATGAATTAAAAATGTATGACAATAATGATTTACATAATGTAACAAACTTTTCTTTGTATGATGAGGATGTGACATGATTTAAAAGCTGTGCAGTGTCATTTTGCATGATGAGTCCATAATACTACCCCACCTTATTCATCCTCTATGACAGCACTGTTTCATTATCATTGCCACATATTGAGCAATGAAATCTTGCAACCAACACCTCATGTCTTTGATGATTCTAATCACTTAACTAATGATGGTGAATGGTTGGCAATAGGACAGAAGGACTTTGATTCAAACTAGATTATTTGCTACTTCAAGCACTGATCTCCAATGGGCCTTGCTATTCAAGCATAGACACAGATGTCATTATAAAGACATGAGTAGGGGTTCTTTATATTTCCCTCTTTTAAATCTGTTACCATCAAATCTCCACCCTTTTACCTTCTTAGAAGGCAATTCTCCAAGAAAATTAGTTCTTTCACCTCTCTTATTTCAGCCTTCACTTTACCTTCCCAGAAGGCAATGGCTGATATTACATGACTTTTCACTGTATAAATAATATATTTTACACACTTGAGCATCATTTGAAGTATCAGCTGCTGGAAAGTTGTTCCACAGAAACTAAAGATTTTAATGCAGTCTGCAGTGCCTGTTTTGATTATAATCAGGACAGAGGACTAGCAAAACAGACATCCTCAATAGCTGAATCTTTCTAATTTGGCTACAATTTTACTAAATACTTTATTAATATGAATATGAACCTCTTGTCTGTCATAGCATCTTCTGTCCTTGCTCTATATTTTTTTTTATTATAAATTCACTTATGTATGAATATCTGATTAATTTATATAGTTTTATAGGTACTGAGATGAAATTCCTGAAAATGTGTAATGTTCAAAAGCATTATCTGTTTCAAGAATCAAGAGCAACAATGTTAAAAAAAGATGATCATGCTTTCACAGACCTACAACATTCAGAGCAATGAGACTCAAAATGTTGAAAGTTACGACTTGGTCCTTCAAAGTAGCTGAAGGTAATTAAGAATATGCAAGTAGTGTCAATCTTCTATCTCTGAACACATGCCTGCTTTATGCACAAGCTTTTCAGGAGAATGGAAGTCTCATATTGAGTGAAAAGTTTTAAGATCATAAAGATCCTGCTCTGAAGAATCATTGACAGCCAACCAGCCACTAAAGCTGATGCATCATTTATCAACTGCAGTTTCAACTGGAGCAGCTGGCAGATGAGCCTCAACCCACATACTTGTATTGAACTTTGCAGTGCAGCAAGAGTAAGCACTGACACCCTGTCTAGAAAATTATTTACAAGGTACTGAGTGAGCATCCATGGCCACCTACATTGTGAAAAAGAATTAAATGGGCAGTGTGTGTGAGATACACAACTGTATGTATAAACACTTAATTCCAGTGATGATTCTGGGAGAATGTTGACAAAGTACTGACAGTCAAGGAACTGGTTAGCCTTTCAGTCTTCATTAGGTGAGATTTACTGATTGACGAGATGCAAAACTCAAACTTCAGAGACTGATAGAGTAACTTATGTCATTAGGTTGTCAACTATATTTATATTACACATATAAACAGAAATATTGGGGGTCATATCTGAACTGATATTTCAAGGTATTACATGGTTGAGATTCTTCAATCGGTTTGAGCAACGGAACTGACATCTTGATGGTGAAGAAGTTGAGTATCACTCATGTGCTGGACGGCTAAGTCTGCATTAGCAAACTGAAATCCTATTTTTAAATCTCACCAGAAGTATATTTGAGACACACAGTGAGAACATTTGTAACCTGGGCCCTAATAAACTTTTTCTGTAGATGACTTTTTACTCTAAAATTTTATACTGTACATATGTAAAATTATATGATTGTTGACAGTGACATATCCTTTGTGAAGCAATAGTCAGGGCACTAGGATATTTGATAAGAACTGGTTGATGAACACTTCTCGTGGTCAAGAATAGTCTTGGCCTAGGGCGCCATTCCATAGAGGGGCCTTATTTCACTAGCATAGCTGTCTATAATTCACTAGAATGGCAGTCCATATCTCACTAACACAAGAGTAGTAGTCCTCACTATCATGGCAACCCATCAGTCACTACTATTGCCGCATGTAACATGTTCCACAAAGGATCCTAAAAAAAATTTGTTTATAAACTTGTGACTAAAACTGGTTGACATACCAGTGATGAATGTGCCCATTTTACTTAGCTGCCTAAAGTATAAATCACTGCAGCCACAAGTTGGTTCCATAAAGGTAAATGTAGCAATTACAGAGTTCTAAGCCTACAATAAATTGCTACCTTTATTTGGAGGAAAAATGCACTGGCTGTCCAGAATAATTAATTCTGCATCAATTAATGCTGGAATTTGCTCTGGATAAATCTGGCCCCCCCAGTTTCCTAGTGAGGCCAGTGTCAGTGCTTGTACTCAGGATACCTCCTCTGAGGCAGAAGGGCGTGGTTTGGATCAGCAACATCTTGTGGTTCTTCATTCTCCTGCTCTGTGGGCAGGAAGTCCTGGTCATCATGATAGGAAGCAGCATCAGAGGGTGGTGAATAAAGACGTGGGTCCTGGGGTGAAGCTGCCTCAAACCTCGCAGCCTCGTAGCGTGTAACAGGTAGTGCTTCTTCACTGGCAGAGCGCAGGAGGGCACTAGGTGGTCTCGCCGAGTACTCATCACTGTAAGAGACACGCACACGTCACCTCAGGCCGCAGGCAGGTAGGTGGGTCACAGGAAAGCCCGTGTTGAAGGGCATCAGTGATAGGAATGGTGGTGGTGGTAGCTGTGGTGGTGATGGAAGTAGTGGTGGTGGTGGTTGTTGTGGTAGCGGGAGAAAGGACAGGGGTCGGCCCCAGGTGTCATGTGTGTGTCCAGCACAGGGTGAGGTGCCCTCCTGAAAGGCTCTTATTGGCACTTTTAAGACTTTTTACAGCCACTCTACCACTGACACTGGCTGCCCTCCCGCCTTAGTTCATTTGCTCATGGGCCAAAAGTATTGCCCAGCATGCGCGCGGACGCCTTTGGGGAGGACCACAAATTCATCACTGCAAACAACAAAACAAGGACAAAACAGTTAAGAGAATGAGCAGACAGAATAACACAAGTCAGCTCATTACGTGATCCTCATTCTTAGTGCACATTCAGGTATTTCTAGTACAGGCAAGTATGTTAGGCAACAGGCTAACTTTTCATTTGAAAATTTAGCAAATGTACTGGTATTAAAGTCATACAGGAATGTTAATACAATTTTATTTTTTCTCAGATTTTTATACTGTATTAGTAGTATTTATATAGTATCTTTTTGCTTATTAACGGTAATGATTCAAAGCAACTAAATATACAAATCTGATAACTTATCATAATTAACATACTGCATTGGTAAATTATACCCTAGGCACTTTAGCTCTGCTATGTGTATCAAGTCAGTGCACAAAGAATAAAGATAAACATTGCTTTCCCACTAAAATAGCATAAGCATTGTTTGTGAAAAAAAAGTTTGCAGAAATGAACAGGTTGGCATGCAAAAGCACAAGCAATGTGGGGAAAAGCATTTAGCAAGTGATTTTGTGTTGGTACATTTGAGAGTAGTGAAGATT